ATAGCCACATTCGTGCCTAATAACTGAAATCAAATGGCCCAGAGTCTTGGAAAAAGAGACGGAAATAGCAAGGAAGAATGTACATGAATCTTAGCATAAAGCAATTAAATACTTGGGAAGTTGATGATTAAGAACAATGTCAATTAATACGCGAGTAGACAAATTAGTCGTTCATTAATGACGATAACTGCTGTTACATTCAAAATTAGCAATGGCAATTAGTGCGAAGTCACAAAAGGAAAGTTAGTACGAAGTTACAAAAGGAAAGTTAAGATATTGAATGTCTTAATTACAATTCACCCTAGGCTGAACGAATTCTTTCCCTAAGTCTCCCCCAATCTTCGCTCTGCTGAGAATAAGCGACGTTTAACTCAGCTACAAAATTGTCATCAACTTTCAGCTTTTTGTGCTGCTCAACCAAAGACTTGGTTCGTTCGATTCCTTGGGAAGCATTATGCTTTTTAGCAGCCATTCTCGCCCTACAGTCATCCATTTTTGCTTGAAGCTCCTTCATCTCTGCAGCCAAACTTGTCATCAAAGAGTCTTCGATCATAACGTCGGAAGAGATTTCTTTTAATTCGTCATCGGCTTTGTTAATCTCTAGAAGCAAAGACTCTCTTTTAGATGCAGTACGAAGATATTGAGTACTCCTGGCCTTCAGTTCAATATTTTTGGCTAGCAAGGAAAGGATGTCAGATTGAACAACCTTCGACGTCACTTTAAAGTCAGCAGAAACATTGAGCGATGGAAGTGTAAGTGCTTGCACCAATTTCTCACTCAATAGCTCAAGCTCATCCTTATGTTTAGTAGCACTAGCCTGGCCGATATCCATGTCCATAAAAGACACATGCTCAAATATCGATTGCTTGAGAAACTTCATATTTTCCTCTGAAGAAGCAGAAGGATGACTGGTTGAAGTAAGGCGAGACGTCTTGACTTACCCCCAAGAAGTAAACAAGTCATGGATGGAATGCACAATGTCATCAGCATCCTATAAGGAAAGATGCCAACATTGAGGACTTTCACTACAATAAACGAAGCGAAAATGAAAGTGAAGCAAAAGGTTACCTCATCAGCAATCTTGGGAAGTTCAGGCATACCACCAGTTGACTCCACCACCTGTGGGGACTTTCCCTTATCTGGGCGAGAAGACTCTGCCACAACGGGCAGGCCCATGGGAACCTCTGCATAATTTAAGAAGCAACGAATCAGAAACCAATAGCACAAGCAAAGGTAAAATATCAAAATATGTATTACCTTCTGATTCGACGTTTGGGGGGTCGGCACCCTGGGAAAATGTGGCCTTTCTACTGTTGTGATGAAGATTCTGGGACTAAGGGTTTCTCTTTAAGCATAATCCCTTCATCAGCTGATTTGAACGAAGCAGTTTCAGCAGAAGATGATGGAGTAGAGGCTGCCAAAACCAAAGCCTTCGAAGGAGAGGCTGAACGTTTCTGAGGAATTCAGGTAAACCATTAGTACATGGAAAAGTATGTTTGTAAACAAATTCAATTACCTTTCTCCTAAGGATGAGAGGAGCGTCATCACCTTCATTGTTATCATCCTGTAAAATGGGAGATGCTTAAGTTGGCCGTTTGTGGCCTAAAGCACTTTTAGCTGCAGTAGCCTTAACAGGTGGATGGATAGAATGTTTAGCGCAAGCAGGGGAGGAAGGATTCCTAATGAACACAGGGGTGACCAAAATAGGAGAAGTAGAGGGAGTGCTTGGCTGGTCTAATAAATGGAAGGCACGATTAGCAACAGTTACAAACAATCGGCGTTTTACTGATGGCCAAAGCTATTTAAAAAGAGGATGGACAGCACAACTAGAATTGAAAGGGGCTAATGAAAATTTGCTCGTCAAAAGAATGTTGCGAGCATCTATAGCTTGTGCCTCTGCCTTATTAATGGTGTAAAAGCGGTCTGTCAAATTTTTGGAGTAACAGGCCAAGTTTGGCCAAAACCAAGTTGGCGAGCAAAAAAATTGGGGAGCATATATTTCAACCCCAACTTTGGCATTGGTTCCAGTTAAGATATCGTGGAACAATTTCCTCCCAATCAAAAACTGAACCCAAACAAGCAGAGAGGTACTCGCACTGTCTAGGGTGGATGGAGGTTGCACATAATCTGGGGTCAAATGAGCAGGAAAATGAAAGAAAGAGGGAACCAAATTTAAGGTATAAAAGAATGAAAAATGTCCCTACTGGACATATTTACAAGGGTCAGTGGATCAATGGCTAGCCCATAGCAGCTAGCAGAACAAAGTGAAATGGATGGAGCACCAAGTGGTGGAAAATATGCTCTCAACCACAGTTGAGTGAACCAAAGGGGGCCACTGGCAGTGGGAGATGCACCATTCTTCAGTTGAAACTAAAGGGAAGTCATGCCTCTATAAAGGGTGGCTAGAAAGAAAGAACATAAGTTCAAAGGCCTACCACGCGTCAATTCATGCGCTATGGGTAAGTAGCTCATAGAAGGTTTCATACTTGGCACACAAAAAATATATTTACAGAGCCAAATCTGAAGAAAGGCCACATGCTCAGTTTGGGAAGGTTCGGCGCTTGAGTGATTATAAAGCCTTGCAGGCTTGAATAGGACTCAGTCAGTTTCTTGTCAAATTTTGGGGCAACACTGGAAATCAAGATACCAGGAAAGATGGTATCGCCTAAAGGCAGAAGGTTTGCTAGGGCTCCAACATCCCTTAAAGTAATAGACATGGGACCGAGGGCGAAACGAAGGTGTTATACTCAGAAGACCAAAAACTTAAAGCAATAGGAAAAGGCACTGGGTCAAAAATTGGGGATTGAAGAGTAATTTCTAATAAATCTGAAATCCTTGCACGATCAAAAATCGCCTTGGTGGGGCCATGATTCACAAGACGTGCATGTCATCTACGAAAAACACCATCAGCTTTGGGCCAAGTGCGAATACCTTTTTCGCGAATCGGCCTCAATAGCAGAGAGTTCAGGAACGGAGGACCTTGAGTACAAGGGAACAGCTGGCACACTACCACTTGTCCAACGGCTTCGACATTATTGAACGATGGACCCAAATAGAATTCATTGAAATCAGCACTAACTTGTGTAAGGAAGTTTGGATTTACATATGGCCTAGTAAGGATTTTCTGGAAATCTTCGAAACTAAAGGAATCATCAGATTGAGTTTGTGAAGTCGCCATTGGAAACGAAGTACAGTTTTTTATAAGGTTGGCCTGAGAAACGTAGCAGAAAAGCAAGAAGATGAACAGTAAAATAACGAGGAAGAAGCGCGATATATAGAGACGTTGTTTAGTGGTGCAATGAAATGGCGTGTCCTTTTGGTTTATAAGGGTTTGTAACGTTGCACTTTTTCAGACTGTAGAAGGAAATAATGATTGAAATTCTTGGGAATTTCAAATATTGCTGGAAAATACAAAGTGAATATGGCAAAGATTAATAATTAGTATTAATTCTGCCATATTGGGGGGTAATTTTTGATACACTAAAAGTGAAGCCCAAATCAAATAGCCTAAAGAGCGAAACTCAATTAGGGAATCCAGGATAAAGGTTCAAACATGATTATTAATGAATGCGGTGGAAGCCCACGAACACGGTAACATCATCGTCCAAGATTGCGAAATGCCCACAATCTGAGCGAATAGAATACCTTGCGGTCGCCTAGAGCGATAACCACATTCTCGCCCAAACTTTCGAATCGCCCAGGATCTTAGCAAGCATAAAACATTATGGTTATCCAGAATAGCAGTTATTAAAGCAGTTATCGAGTGATCTTATCACATTCCACGATTCAAGGAGCCCAGTTGAAGGAGGTTGAACGACAAAGAGTAATGGCAACAGTTAGAGACGGCAGTTCTACGACAAGTTAATCACCATAAAGAAAGTGGGTAGTTATACAGTAATCAAGCAGTTTCCAAGCGGTTTGTCACGAATAAATAATCAAGGGAATATAAAAGGAAGAGAAGATATAGAGAACAGGAACCCGAATCAAATACTCTCAAATAGAGAATATGTAATTTTAATTTCTTAGTTTAGATTTAAATACTTCTTTTAGTACTCGTGTGCTTGCGTCCCTTGGAAGCTTTCTGGCTATTTTCAATTGTAAATCATCGCCAATAAATCATCCCTTTTTGAGACTTCGTCTCAAGAGGTTTGTTCCTTACACAATCGTCTGATCCCTTTTTAATTGTTAGCGACTACCCGCGCGAAACAGAAATAGCAACCGTGTCTTATATGAAAAAATAATGAAAAGGTGCATGTCTTGATATATTCTTGAAGTAACTTTTGGAGATGGGGCAACTAGAAACTAAATTGATCTGGATCCTAAACTGTTCCCATTTCTTCATAGAAGTTAACGGACAGAATACTAAATGGGGTAAAATGTACACGTATATCTTGATCTAAACCACTAAACCACTACATACCTAGTCACGATTTTGGTTTTTTCGAAGAATATAACATTTTTATTAACAAAACCAAATTACAGGAAAAATGGGTAAGTTTTTCATTCATAAAACTTTGGGAAAGTTGCAGCAGCGATTTCTAACTTTTTCATTTTTTGTAGGCTTTATCCTAACCTTCATTTTGTGTCAATGAAGATTCCTAACATTTTATAAATATGCACCTGAGGTCCATTTGGATAGAAACCATCCAAAACACTATCAGTTGACCGGAAAAACTAAGGAATCAACATCCAATAACACCATCTAAGTANTGAATTTTCCTCATCAAAATGAAATGATAGATGCTTATTGTACATTACCATTGATAGATTCTTTTACAAATTGGCGAGGCGACGGTAATTTGAAATAAAACTGTCAAAAATCTGTTCACCACATTACATAAGCACAACCGTCTAAGTGGTGAAGAGATTTTGACAATTTTAATTCAATTTATCACCATCTCATCTATCTACAATAAGCATTTTCCAACTAATAAGGAATCATAAAAAATTACTAAAGTTCGATATACATCAACAGAAGTAATGAAAAATTGCACCAGAAATAAGCAGCAGCAAATAATTGAATTAAAGAAGCTAAACGTGTGCGTTTAAAAAAAAATAAAAATAAAAAATGGCGTCTTCTCAAACCTATGGCACAATATTATCACGATGCAGATGCAGAACAGGCAGCATTTCGTCCTAAACCTATACCCAAACCTAAAGGAGCAGAATCAGTTTTTCTACTGTGATTCTGGCTATGGCTACATTGAGAAGAATGAACATGCCCACGATGTGTGTTTTTGTTATTCACATCGATTGCTACATGGCCATTTCCATTTGCTTGATGAGCATGGCTGATTCCGTTCAACAGGTTTGAGTTCCGAGCCATTTGCCTCATCGAAGTCCCTTCAGATTGACTTGATTCTTCATCATACTCCACGTCTACATTGTATCCATTTATCAAGAAATCTGTACAATTTTTCTTGCAGCCATGATCATATGGGTTTCTGAATTGGCCCCCAGCTCCTCTGAGATAACTATAACGCATTGAATTTGCCATTTCATTTGTTGTAATGTTGTGGGCAATCTGTGGGACGAATAGAATAGCAAAAACCGTAAAACACAAACAAAATAATTTGTCAACTCCACTTATAACTAACTAAAAAGAATGGCTCAAACACTAACAAGTTGGCATTCTTTGTTAAATGTTGACTGTAATATTTCAGCAAAATGTATCCCAAATACACCCTAACGTAGGAACAAATTTAAAAAAACGGTCGATCAAATGACAACAATCAGGTAGTATGTTGATCCGTGCTCTTAACATCGAATATTCATGCATAATGTAGAAGTCATAAGCCGTGGAAAGATGATTTGATTCTTCACAGGATATGAATATGGGAAAGAAGATGGTGGATCATTGAATTGGAGCATCCAAGTGACATGTTTGGAATAGTTATTAATGGTTTATAATCTCGCTTATAATTCTAGAATTGGAGCACAGACGGTATTCAGATGTTGCAGGTATCTAAATGTTTTGACCAGTGTAAATTCAATTAAGTGGAGCTCTATGAATGAAACAAGAGGAGAGAATGACTGATTTCAATCTACCTCGAATGCACAAAGAAATGAATGCCATAACGAGACAAATTGCAGGCACGGAACATGGGGAAACTTTCTGAGAGGAAGTCGGACTTCTAAAACAAATAGAGATATCTATACAACCTCGTGTAATCAAGATGTATCATGTATTTCTTGGTGATATAATTAGGGGTCATTTTTAGGCTAACAAAACCAGTCGGTTCATCACTCACAGATATATCATGATATCTTCCCATTATTTCAAGCAATCAACATAATAAAGTACTTTCAGATAGTAATAGTTGAAAAGAACCCAAAGACACAAGAAAATAGAGACTCCAGAAGTAAACCTGAGAAGCCTGTACAACAGTTAAGACTGCCACACCAGATAAGAGGAAAAAATCTGCAATTAAAAATGATATAGCACCAACATGATGATTTCCCGCATGGTTCAACCATGCACCAAAGGAAGATGGAGCTGTTGGGTCAGTCAACACTCCTACAATGTCAAGAAAAAGTTTACAACGGATAATGGAACTTACAGAAAATATAGGATGAGGAAATTACAGCAATGTGTAAATATTTTCATGCTAGACCAACGAAAAAAATATCTCACTTGTGAGAGCCACTGCTCCGGTAATCAACATGGCCAGAACTTCCAGAAGCAGAAACAAGAAGAAATCCCACTTGTTTTTCTGTATCAGAAGATAAAAATTCAATCAGAACATTATGATAGGAAATAAACACGTTTGATTTAACAGAGCTAACCCAAAGGTAGAACCAAGAAGGAATGGAGGGACGCATAACAAACAGGAGATCATATATGCTAACTAACGTCTATTCACAATTTTTCCATGTACTTTGTCAAGATCGGCATAAGTTAACCAGCTAATTCATCATCTAATAACATGATTCACTCTTTCTTTCTCTACATACACGTAAGGTACACCAGTTATGAATCAAGTGGCACCAAAGAGCAAAATCCCTTTTTCTTCTGTTTCTCTTTTACTAATTATGATGCAATGATATTAATCAAGAACCACCCAACTAATCTCTACTCAAAACCAAGTGACAAAAAAAGAGTAACATTTTTTTCATTTATCATCCCTTCAACGATTGGGACGAATATATTTTTCCAAGGTCATTTAATCAGGGGCAAACCATCTTATTTACCAGCATAACAAATAATAATAAAGAAAGATATGTAAATAAATTTCAAATCACCTTCCCAATGCAATTAGATACCCAAGGGCAATGATGATCAAACTGTTCAACACAGCGATCACAGGTGGAACAATGCTTCGCGCGTAGAGGCCTGACAATCTAATAAAGCACAAGACAAGCGATGTCAGAAGCAATATAACTTGAACGCTAAGATAGAATATAGCTTTCTTTTCCTTTTATAGAGGTAGACAAGATGGTGCACCTTGCAAGTGGCGCAAAGCCGAGACCAGTTCCCAGCAAGCAAAGCAGGATTATTTATTTCAATCTTCAGCAAAGGTTCCTAAACCAAAAATGATAAAGGGAAATATTTAGAAGCTATTGAAAGTACACAATTAAACTATAGATTTCTATACCTGGCAAAGCAAACAAAGAGCTAGATATGATAGTCTGGTAAGACAGTATGCACGGTATACTTAGAAAGAAATAAAAGAACGGAATTGATAGAAAGTAGAGCTTTCGGGCACCTCTGTAGATAAAAGACGAGGTAGTGATTTCTCTATTCTTTTGGAACCAATTTTTATTTTTAAAAAAATATATTACTGTTGGATTAGAGAAAATCATAGCTATTAACTGGAAAATAAATAATAAAACAGGTGGCAACTTACATCATCTTTCACGTTTTGTGAGTCGTGTACATTCATTCTGATGTATCCTGGATCCTTGCTGCACAAAAAGGTCAATAAAATTTAGACTCATTAATAATAATAGTAATTCCAAACAACTTATAAGTTCTAATGAATTTAATCACGACTCTTAGCTGTATGAAGATCCAATAATCAAGTTACATCAACGTGCACATACATTATAGCTTCAAGGGGGAACAGAGAGCAATCAAACAACTAGAATATATACAGCATGTAAGGAGAGAGGACAAAAAACACAAAGCTACAGGAATTCATCATTAGAGTTTATGTAGAAATGATAAAAAACAATTAGAAACCAAAATCATCTTTGACCAGGTATACCATATCATAATAAAATCAGAAATAAACCAAACACAAAAAATAAAGACATAGCATCTTCACCACAAGTATAGACATCTAAGTTGAAAAAAAAAAAAAAAAACAAAACAAAAGAAAAAACTAGACAAAAAATGACTTTGTAAATGCCATTCACTCATTCGAGTTACCTGCTGCACCTATAAAACAGAATGAGTCTGGAGGATGCCAGGAGCACACCCATCCAAGCAAGAAGACCAAAACCAGCTGTTAATTTTGGCAGGTTTGATGCTGCATCCAGAAACCAGTAAAAAAATGTTCTCAAGCGTAATAATTAGACTTACGATGCTAAATAAAAATGAAGTCAGGAGATATACCCGTAACAACTGAATGAACATATACCACAAGTAACAAAAATATTATACACCAGAGTATTGGGACAAGTCCTAATTTTGAGAGTTTGGCAAGGCGGCTGTTTCCATCACACCGTTTGTCAAACAAACTTCTAGCATTCCCCTGTAAATGAAATGCAAAGAACATAATACAGATATAACCTATCCCGAACACAGACAAATGTTTAAATTAATAAAAAAGAATCAAACTGTTTGATCAACATATATTCAGAGAAAATAGGCAAATGACATTTTAGCAGCAAGTAGTTTTTTTTTTTTTTTTTGATAAGCAATGAATAATTTTATTAATCAAAGATAATATACAGAAAGTGTATTATCAATTTATACAAGAAAGGAACAACATGAAATTAGGCAACCCATAGGAGTAGAAACTGTAGTTTAGCAGCAAGAAGTTACTGGATTTATAGTACGAAATGGGCTAAAATCACCATTTTCATCTACAAGCTCTATCCTTTTTCTTTTTAACTTTTAAATGCAAAACTTAGGATAAAAACATAGCTACAATGGCTGAGGGAAAGGCCGGACTCTAGTCCTGCCTGCCCCTAGAGTTTAGTTTCACCAGTCACTCTACATCTTCGTAGGGACGGCACTCCCTCACTTCCAAGATCTGGGGGTTCACATCGCGAAGCTCCAATAATGCAAGAGGAAACAAAGTTTTCCAACCTAATCAGCTTTAGAAATTTCTGCATTCCCTCAATGTATCCAATCTGAACAAAGTCCCTTGAACAACGTGAAAAAATTGGCCTCGTAGACCCAATTAGAATTTTCCTACCAATTTGGCATTTCCTTCACGAATTCTAAAACAGTAGCTTTCATTGATCTGTCCAGGGCTGGGGGAAGAACAAACAATTTTATTCATTCTTTTTTCCGCTCTTTTTGACAACACAAGGCCTCGTGAAGGAAAGAAAATGAATAAATACATGACACTCCCAATCTTTTCGAATGATTTAATCTCAAACGGTATTTTCCAACATCTTTTTCCAATCCCCATGCATGACTTTAGACAAGGGGGAGGGGGGGTTCAGATTGTTATATAATTATTTAAAGAGTGAGAACTTGATCAATTATGAACTCCAAATGAAAATTATAAAATATGGAAACACTTCATAGGCTACTCAACTGGAATCGGATCTCAGGATGTTTTCCCGTATGCCTACTAGAATAAAAAGCACAGTGTGCACTTACAAATTTTATGGTAGTAAATCTGCAATTAGCAATACAATACTGTAAGCCAGTCCAAGTAATCAAATTCTATATCCACTAGGAGAAGCACGAATAACTAAGGCCTTGATCAAAAGTGATTATTTGAAAACCACTTTCCCCCACACTCATCTTCAAACATACGTCATCAAAAAAATATTCATTTATCACATTTCCCTAACTTTTCCCTACTTTTAAATCACACATTCTCGAAAAAAAAAAAGCAAGAGAACACAAGCAAAGCAAGATTAAGGAGTACCTACAAGGAAAAAGGCGACTTGTCTGTGATTCTTATCGGAAGCAAGCTGTGCAGGCGTGAGGCCAGTATTATCTACTACCATTTGATCTTCTTTTTTCCCAGCTTGCACCAGCACAGTGCATGCTTCTAGATTACCCCTAATAGCAGCCCAGTGAAGAGGGGTACAACCTAAATGATAAGAAGTATGTGAAATTATTGAATCAGGATACAATAATGTAAAATTTTCCACGAAAGCATCGATTCTTCGAAAAATGGAAATATGAAAAACTTTGGAAACACAGAAAAGTTACGGAATACGGAATTTTTGAACTTACCTTCTTTGTCCTGACGTCCCCTATATGCATCTAGAAATAACAAAAGACGTATGCAGTCCACAAAGCCCTTATATGCAGCCCTACAGATGAAAAGATGAAAAAAAACAGAACCTAAGCTAGTAACTACTTAAAGTATGATCATTAAATAAGTAAATAAATCATATTGCTGTGATCCTAATTGGGTGGAATCTATAGATAAAACAAGATATAGGGCCGTTATCCTACACTAAATAACTGATCCAGCAATCATAGTCTGAAATTTACTAAGTGCAAACTAATAGCATATTATGAGTTCACATTAAGTTAATGTACAAATGAAAAAAAACAGAACCTAAGCTAGTAACTACTTAAAGTATGATCATTAAATAAGTAAATAAATCATATTGCTGTGATCCTAATTGGGTGGAATCTATAGATAAAACAAGATATAGGGCCGTTATCCTACACTAAATAACTGATCCAGCAATCATAGTCTGAAATTTACTAAGTGCAAACTAATAGCATATTATGAGTTCACATTAAGTTAATGTAGAGAATAGCAATTATAATCTATCAAAACACCAGAGATGATTAAAAGCCCAGTCCGTCATTCTTTTAGAGAAATTGGAGAGTAGAAATTACAGTTCAATAAAAAAAAAAAAAAAGCTCAAGAATACATTTCATTCTTCCAAGAGCTAGAGATGAAGAAAAATACTTAAATTCCTACATAGAATTTCACAACAAAACCAAAAAACTTAGTATGTCCCATAGATCACCGAGCCACTGTTCTTTTTCTTCAAAATGCTTGGAGTTCCTTTTTAGTCCAAATTACAATTATAGTCTAACTCCTACAGGGTTCCAAAGACCAAGATCAAGTTAAAGGATGTCTTGTGTGTCTTCCATAACCTTCTTTTCATCCTGCTAAATTCAATATGGATCTCATAACCTTGTAATGCCAGTTAACATAATCTAGAAATCACAGATACCGGCAGTAAAAAATGCAAACCAAATTTACTCTAAACATGAACTATTGCAGAAAATAACGAATACATTCGTCAAGTACCAGTGCATAGGGCTTCTTCCATCATTGTCAGGAACGTCAGGATCCGCATTCCACTTTGTTACAAGATGATAGATGAAAGCTGTCTGACCATACTGTGCAGCAACGTGTGTTGTCTGCAGTTAAAATGAGTGTGATAACGCATCTCCATTAGCAAGTTCTCAGCAACTGAAGTACTAAAATTTAAAAGGAAGAAAGAGAGAGAGACAGAGAGAGTGCTGAAAAGGTCAGGACCATAGCCATTTCTTCTTTCTTTCCTTCTTCAGCTAAATAGTAACAAAAGTCATTTTCAGTGCAACAATTTTTGTGCAAGAGTATAAGCTGGAATATGCAATCAGCCGCTGAAACACGGGTTGGCATTTTTTTTTTTTTTTTTTTTTAAAGGAAAACACCAACATGACCTGAACACGGATTTGAACTTAAAGACATAAAACAAATGCGACACCAGAACTGTTTCAAAATCAAGAGGATGTTATTGTTGTTCTTACTATCGGAGAATTACACTACTTCATCGTTGTTTGCATGGTTCAAGTCATTAATCAGTTCTCTATCTAAAGTTCTGCGACAAATTCTCCTTTGCTTACAATTGAATTTGTCAGAATTTTGTTATAATCTGTTTCTCCATCTATTTACTTTACATTGTGATTTTACTACCAATTATATAGTAAAAAATTCTACATCACACTGAAGGAAGCTCCAGGCTTCCTGAAATTTGAAAGTATGTTAAATTATTTTAAATTTTAAATTTACTTCAGCTATCATTAGTCATTTAGTCCACACATAGGAGGACTCAGTTCACAATTCTTTCGTTTGGTGTCAGTCTGGTGACACCCACCAGACTGGGCACAGCCATTTAAGATGGCATGTCAAGAAGGGACAGTGAGAATACTAATTGTAAACTATAAGCAATAAAGCATCCCAAAACTTCTTGATAAGTTAACAAGGAAAGTTTCCATGCTATAAAAATGATCGCGTCAAAAAAGTCATCATTCAAATTTCAAATTAAACAAAATTTATTTGCGTTTGCATAATTCTCCTAGCTACCAACTGTACTCCAAAGAAAAACATTTCCTGTCAATCTATGGGAGATAATGAGATATGGTGGATCATTTGAGGGTAGGTGGAAGTGACGGTCCCACAAGCTTCAGAATATAACGCAAAAAGAAACACAAGTCCTAGAGCAGCCATCGTGGGAAATTAACAGAGCACTCATGACCAATACCTCTCACAGTTAGACATTGTCCAAAGGCACTAAGTATGAGGTTAGATGTGTTCCTCAGCACCCAAAATATGCTTAACAGAGAAAACTAAATTTTAAAACCTCACTCGGTCAAGTAACAGAGAGAATGGGTAAAAAAAAAAAAAGACATTAAATGGACTAGGAACACTATCATAACTTATGTCAAGTCTTCAAGAACATACATAATAGCAACAGGGAGAGTAATGACTTACAAGGGAAAAAAATGAAAAAATAGCTTCCATACATGAAGGACCGAAGGTGAAACTGAAGTGCATGTATGACACTCTCAAACATTTCAAAGCAGAAAAAGATGAAAATAAAGAGGACGGTTATACCCCCAAGAGGAAGTACTGGCTAGAAAGTGAATCATCCTGAGACACTAGAAACAACAATATAAATGCAGCCAATCATCGTAACTGACATATCCACTATTCTAGAGTGTATAATTCCTAAATCAGAAAAATGTAGAATGCCGCAATTTAATGTGTAAGATTTCTATAAAACTACACATTCTCTAATGAAAGCAAAATATGTTTTTCATTAGATTTACACCACCATTGTAAGCAAGTTATTAATTGCTAATTTACAATGACGACCATAGGAATGTAAACAAACCTGATAGCCATACATATCAGCAGCGTTGACTCTAGCACCCTCTTGCAATAGAAGCTCAGCAACTTGGATTGCGCCCCTCACGGCACTCCAGTGCAGAGCCGTCTGGCCAGTATGGTCTGCTGCATGAACATCAGCCCCATGCTGTCAAGTGTACACCACAATATAATCAAGATACGAACAAAATCGACAGGGAAACGAGAAAGAGAGTCACAATGACTTGATACCTTCATTTACAGATCGCAACATAAATCATATCTTATCTTCAAAAAATTACTCACAGTTACTCGGGTCATGCGTTAGCAGGTAATATTTGAAACAAATTTATATGTTGCACGAGGTGTTAATTTATTCTTTAGCTCCAATGCTCACAACATTTTTCTAACATCTAGAGTTCCTGACATTGTCTAAAATCTCTTGTGTATAATATATACAACTTCACAATGTTGTGTGCACATTCAAGCAACAAAATCTTATAAAACTGAAAACTACATTGTAATTAATCTTGGCGTGCCCCACCCAGTGCTGACTATCAATAATAGACAAAATTTATTTCTATATAACAGCATAAGCAACTCAATCACACTTCACATCTCAGGATGATGGTCTTCCCGAAATTCACGTCTAACAGCTCAGATGCACGATCTTACTCAGTTCAACAAAATACAATTATAAGTGAGATACATATTCACCAAGCAATTAAATTAGGTGAAGTCAATAACTCAATGTACAATACCCAATATACACGCAGAAACGACAAACACAGAACCTATATATATAAAAATGTTAGTGCACCTCGATGATGTATTGTGCGGCTGCAGTGCGGTTGTTGAGGGCGGCCCATTGGAGAGCATAGTAACCATGGGCGTCAGGCTCAGAAACGGAGCAACCCTCGCTCTCAACCAGGCACTGCAGCTTCTCCATGTCCCCATAAGCCGCCGCCGTGTAGACATCGTTCCGCAGGCTCCCATCCTCTACCACCACCTCGGCCGCCGGCTGCTTCCGATCTCCAGATTCCACTTCTTCCACTACCTCGATCTCGGAAGCCATGTTAAATATTCCAAATTGGTTTTTTTTTTTTTTGCTTTCCTTTTTCTCTCTTGGGAAATAAGAAGATTTTTTAGAGCAACCAATTGATCAACAATACATCATCCCTTCAATATATATGTGTATATATCTGTATCTTTCGTGTATAAATGACCAAAGAATTTAATTGATTCAGTATTTTTCTCCTAGAAGGAGAGGGAGTTGACTGGATTGGTATAAGGGATTGAAGAAACAATGAGAGGGAAAAGAAGCCAACTCCCGCTGGGATTCGCTGATTTGTTCTTTGTGGGCGACCAAGAAAAAATCGTAGAAAAAAAAAGAAATCATAGATTTTTTCTTTTTTATTTGTATGAATTAATTTCATGAACAAATGGGCTGGAAATTTTAGAAAATGCTTGTTCTGTGTCACCATTTATATAGCACCATGTTTGAGCTCCATTATAATTAATACTAATTTTTTGAAAAAAATATATTCTGTAATAATGATTTTTCAAAAAAATTGTAATTAAAAAATAGAAAAAAAAATTTAATTTACATGTAAAATCCTTTTATCGGAAAAATGTGTGTTTAAAAAGAAAAGAAAAAAATTATATTAACAAATTAATGGAGCCCAAACAAGGACATAACGTTTTATAGATTAATGAGGTTTTAAAAAGAAAAGTGGTGATTTATTTATTTATTTTTATATTTTTTGGTTGATGAGATTTTAGTCTAATTAAATCTCGCCTCTTGATTTGTTGATAAATAAATTTGTAAATTATGATGTATATATAGCACAACTATACAAATTTTAGGCTATATTTCCTAAAGTTTAAATTGAAATTTCCTGTTAATAAATAATAAATTATAATACATTTAAGTCCATGTTTGACAACCATTGTTTGGAGAAAATATAATTTTAAATAGTGACTTTTAGGAGAATGTATAGTTAAAAAGTTGAAAAAATTTTGGGCGTATGAGCATAATATTTTATTGCATGAATATGCAGTTAAAAATGAATATATAGATAAAAGAGTTCGAAAATAATGATTTTCAAATGGAGGGTAGGTTCTTTATTTATTAAGTGATTAAATAAGTTATTTCGAAATAAATTTTAAATCGTGATTTTAAAAGACTTTTTTTTTCCATTTTTACTGAGCTCCTGCTTGACATTCAATTTTTTGGAACAATGAGTCATTAAATAGTAAATTTTTGAAAAATGTGTAATTAAAAAATAATAAAAATTTTGAGTTTACGTAAAAAATATTTTATTGTGAGAAAATGAGTACAAAAAATGAATTTTACAAAAATGGATTAACAAATAGGGGCTTAAAATATCTTAAATAGTATGCTTTATAATAAAGGATAATTATATGGATTTACCTTTTGTACGAGGAAATGCACCGAGGATTTTATATATATTGAGATGGTAATACCTATATTACTGTGGATTTTTTTTTTGTCCAACGCCTAATGAAAAATTTGCCAAGTGGAATTTTGTACATTTCCTAATAAAACATAAAACCTCGTCGAAGTTTTTTTTACTTTTAAAGCCAAAAGCCAATCGGATTCATTCAAAATAGTGTCCTCACCGTTTTTTAATATGGCTATTGTTATGGAACTCAGTTATTAAATGTTTAAAACATTCGCATGACTTTAATAGTAAGTGGAGTTCCATGTATAACTTACATCGCTAACAAATGTTTTAGTATTCGTCACTCCAAATTCCTTAAATGCTTGTTTTCTAATAGGAAAGATCGTGATACATATTAGTTCATTCCTAATTCTTTGTATTTCATCTTTAATATGTTTCGAACAATCTAACACAATTAAATTTAAAAGATGACACACACAACGAATATGAAACAAATAACCATCAAATCATACTGCAATACCTTACACAATTTATCGATAGCTATTTTATTAATACTAACGTTGTCGAATGTAAAAAAAAAAAAAAAAGATTTTTGCTCTCACGATGATATTCTCTAATAATGGTCATAATAACATTATGTTAGCTTTTCCAACGAATTTAATAAATTTATAAGCAATAATTTTTTTAATGCATATATCAAAGTGTGTCTATATAGCGTGCAGTTGTAGCTATATGAGCTCTTTTATTGATCTATCACATCTATCCGAAGTTAAAGATATAACCACCCCATATTTTTGCAAATCCATAATCAATTGTTGTTTCGTTTGAAGGAAATATTCTATTGTATCTAAACGAAGAGTGTTTCTACTTATTCCCAACGTACCTTAGTTGAAGATGTTATTTTATGTACAAGATGAAATGTTGGTTGTCCGCTATTGTTAGAAGCAACTCAACACCAGTAATAAGTTTCACTATTCCCATTTGAGCATTCTTCTTCGAATACATCCATGTGACGAGGGCAAAGTAGTAGAATCGATGCCTAGACTATCAAATTGTAGTCGTGTTTGACCGGTTTCAAGAAGTCCACATTTGACCACACACGCTTAGTGACGGTTGAAGTAGGTAGTACCAATACTTTGTAGGCATTATTTACATACTACTTTAGACTCTGAGACTTCATCGATAACACAATCCATTGAAATCAATTTGAAGTGATATCAATATTTTGCCTTTTTTCTCCTTTCGCTTCCCTCTAACATCGAGAAAGTCAAATCAATTGGATTATTGCTTTCATGTGCAGCCAAATTTGGAATATCTTCGAGAATGGGTACCTCATTTAGATAGAAAAATTAATTCCGATATTGACTTTACGGCTTCATAGGTGATTCGCTTTCGACACCAAATAAGCCATCAATAAATGAGTGTGGATCCATTTGTGAATTGTATGAAATTAAAAATATATAGATGATATAGTAAGTAGTAAGTATTAAGACTTAAGTAAAAGAGTACCTAAATAATATAATGTGTTTAAGATTGTGAATTCATAATTATAAATGGCTAGTGTGATAATTAAATGAATTGAAATTGATGATGATGAAATTGTAAAAATGAATGTAGTAATGTAGTTTATTGTATAATTGTGGAAGAAAGAGAGAGAGAGAGAGAGAGAGAGAGTTGTTGATGTTGTGTGAAAAAAAAATGGTTATGTTTTCATGTATACTTATAGAAAGAAAAATATAAAAAAATTTGGTGGCCATTCTGGCCACTTTAAAAGTTTAGTGACCGTTTGCAACGGTCATTGAACTTTTGAACAGACGACGAGCCACTGGCTCAGCTAGGCTCATAATTTTACGAGCCAAGTGACTGAATCGACGAGCCACTTGACCCATTTGACAACCCTATATGGGACAATAGATATGACCTCTTTTAAGTAACTTAGCTCCTATTTGAGCCCATTATCCAATAATTCATTTTTTATTTTTAATTTTTTGGATTCATTTTCAAATACATATTCTATTTAATAACATAATGTGCGCGTAAACTCAAATTTTTTATTTACCTTTTAACTAAACATTCTTACAAAATTCACTACTAGAAAACTCATTTTAACATAAAAATGAGGTTCAAACAAGAGCTTACTAAATAAATAGAAGTGAAAAAAAGGAAGTGAATCAGAGAGGTAGGAAGTCCTCGTACCTCGTGGGACATTCCGTACGAGGAGGGCGGGGGTACAACACTAATCTGCATGATATAATACCGTGCACAAATTTAACCCTTGTTAGAAAATGATTATTTAAAATTCAATTTCACCCACATTTATTTAAATCACATTATATATATATAATGTGATCAAAACCTTTTTCCTATATCTAATCACAAATTCTTCAAATAAAATCACTATTCAAGCAATCAATATGGCAAAACACTAAAGAATATGGAGTAGGGGGACGAGATTCAAATGGGTTTTGCTAATAGCATTATCCGATTCAAATTAAGGAAAGCGAAAGGAATTTGATGAGTTTACAGGGTAAAAACGACTTTGCACGGCTTGCATTGATTAACAGTGCAATAGTTGACCGTTGCTGCTTGCGCTAAAAGATAAGCATCCGTATTATGGAAACATATATTTTCCTTTTCTAACCCTTCAATTCTTTCCATAACAAACCCAAAAATTTCCCCAAAAATCTTTACTTCCAAAGTTCTATAAAAACTTCACGAACCCAGAATTCTGTACAAGTTTTTTCAAGAAAATTCTAACCCAGACATTCTTTTCTTGTACAAGTTTTTTCAAGAATTCTGTAGTGTGTCTGAACCATAGCTTTTTTGACGGAAACCTTGTACTGAAGAACAAGATGGACAATAATAACAACTTCCAGACCAGTTTACGAGTTCTTGCTGTTGACGACAACATTGTTTGTCTGGAGATGCTTGTCGTTGGGCTTCAACAATGTGGTTATGAAGGTATGTTACACCTTATAAGATCATATAGGCGTAAAATCTTGAAATATCTGGACTGGTATCAATTAGAAAAATCTCAACTGAGTTTCTTAAATCAGATTCCAGTTATTTTCTGTTCCAACTAATATGATGATGTCTATTGCAGTTACTGCAAAAACTGGTGCACTTGAAGCTCTTGCAATACTGAAGGAGAATAAAGATTACTTCGACATTGTAGTTACAGATGTTACAATGCCTGATATTGATGGTTTTAAGCTGTTAGAGCTTATTCGTCTCGAGACAGACATTCCTGTCATAAGTAAGACACGACCGCAAGCTCTATACTATTTTTCGAACGTGTCTCTATCCCCCTTTCGTTTGCACTCAAGTATCGATTTTCCTTGCAGTGATATCTACGAATATCGACCCGCAAACTGTGGTGAAGGGTGTAAAACACGGAGCACAAGATTATCTGGCAAAGCCTGTTAAAGTAGAGGATTTGAGGAAACTTTGGGAGTATGCAACTAAGAAACCTGAATATGATCATACGCCATCCAGCATTGAAACTCGGGAGACGGTTGTACAATCGTTGTCTCCTGAAGATTATAAGGAGAGAGACATGGAAAAAGAGGATGAGATTTCTCGATCCGACCAAATAACTTCTTCTCGAAAGAAACATACGAAAAAGAGGATTACGTGGACTCGACAATTGCATAAGAAGTTTCTCGATGCGATTCAGCAGCTGCAAGTAGATCTTCACAGCAGTGAGTATAGGCCCTCTTCTCTTGACTTGATTAGTACTTGGCTATATTAAAGAAAGAAAAAGAAACTAAAATCTTGTACATTGTACTGTTCAATCCTCGTGTTCTGCTTTCATCGTATAACTAATCCTGTCATCTGCAGAAATAATTCCAACCAAGATACTTGAGATTATGGACGAACCAGATTTAACTCGGGAGAATGTAGGGAGTCATCTCCAGGTGATTTATTCAATTTCATTCTTGCAAATGTTATTCTGCCTTCGTGTGGATAAATGTTCATCGTTTCATTTTGCGTTCTTCTTGGTGTTTCAGAAGTACAGGAAAATGTTGGC